ATTTTTATCTCTTTTATTTGATACCTTGAATTAGTTTAATTTATGCTTTAATCCATATGTAAGTATCTGGGTTATGTATGGATATCTGAATTAAAATATCCGTAAAATACCTTAAATAAATGAAAATTAGTTAATGAAATTTATTAATAAAAATACTTTTTTTTACTAACCATTCAAGTTAGGTTGCAAAATATTAATTAATTAAATAACTAAAAATTATAAAGAACTTAACCGGCTCAACGATCAAAATCAAAAATAAAAAGAAAAAGGGCTAGTGAATCTGACTCGGTGTTCTGACTTCTATAAAAATTGCTGGTATACATACTCAATTCTCATTATCGTCCTCTACCATCAGCCCTGATATATTTGCATCTTGAGACTCAAACATTCGTACCTGTTAAAAATCGAAAGATGTATGGACTATCGACTGCTATGCGACCTTTGCGGATGCGTATTACCGACTATAGCTATACCTAAGTATTATATTGTGTTAAGGAAATCTCATTTTGTTATCACGTTATTAGCTTAATAATCGATAAAATCGAATTCGTTTACAACTTATAATTCGTAGTTGCGTCAACAAATGTTATTAATTGTTCCACTGAGGATGACCGATATTTAAAGGGTTGAAACGTTTGGTTTTATATTCTATGTATTAAATTCTATTGGAATTATAATTATTGACACGAACACCGAGTCAGGCTCACTAGCCTTCTTTCTTTTTATTTTTAAATAACTAAATTTATATTGAAAATATAACAGTGGATTTTTTTTCCCTTTGAAAAACATCTTATATCTACTTACTACTCAAATATAGAACTAAATAAAAATTGTATAGTTTCCTCAATGATTTTATTACGGTTCACTGAATCAGTTTCTAACGATGAGTTATAAGTAAGTAAGATGGTTCGATACACCTGGGACATTCTGCGAACGATATCATATCGTTGGTAGTGACTCTGACATTAGAGACGCTAGGTCCAAATAAAAAAGCAGGCCTCGACACATCTAATTGCGGATTACGCAACGCGATAATATTTTACGTCAATTTTTATCTCTAGTCAGGCATTTATTCCACATTTCGACGGTGCAAGGTCAAAATGTAATATGTTATTGACGAGGCACACCTGTCGACGTATGCGAAAACAATTTTCCTCATTAGACGGGGGGAATTCACCAGCTGGTGGGTACCTCTAACCTCACATGAGAGACGTCAACCGAAAAATTTATAACTAACTGCATTACATTAATATAAATTAGCACGCACGAAAAAACTCTCAATATGCGACGGATAATTGAATTACGTGTTATGCAGAAGTACAGAGTAAATCGGATATAATTAGACAACTCTCTACACGACGTGCTTCCGAAAGATTAATTAATATACTTGAAGAAATCACAGCAACATAATCCACCAGACGGCCTATTCTGAAACTTTTTAACGTATACGTTCAAAAGTTTTAGAATATGCCCTCTGGATTATGTTGCTGTGATTTCTTCAAGTGTATTAATTAATCTTTAAAAATTTTCAGAATAGGCCCTCGAATCTGAGGGAATTGTTAGATTATATGTTATCGAAACATTGTACAGGAACGGGAGGGGGGGGGAGAGGGTGACAGCGTAATTTGGCCATTTTAAGAAGTGTTCCAAGATAGACGAAAATTGATTAGTGTATTATAAATTATTAGATTAAAGTGACCCTCGCATATCGAAAATTATCACTTTGTTAACACTTGAGATTAATTTTTAATCCGTTGATATGATTGGTTTCGCCGAAATGACTATTCTTCTTAAGTCTTTTCTTGTTTTCTTGTCGAGGATTATTTGAATTAATTTAAATATGATAAAACATGATAATATACGTGTTTAATACGTGTTCGTATATTTAATAATTTTAATATTATTCTTAACTTTTTAATTTTTAATTTAAAAATATAATAAGTTTTGTATTATCTTGGAGAATATTTTTTACATATGCACGTTTTTACATATGTTTTACATATTACGTGTATTTTTTATCATATTCATTACACTTTAATAAAAAAAATACATAAAAACAGAAGTAATTGTTTTCCATACCTCTTTATACTGACAAATACGATTCTGTTTATTAAATTGCTTTATCATATGTCATAATTTTAAGAAATTTATGATCAAAGTTAATAAAAAACAGCTATTTTATAATATATTTTGGCACATTCTAATTATACATGTGATATGTTGATGAAGTTTTATTGCAATTAAAATAAAATGTGTTATTGGCATTTTTTGTTTATAAAAAATATTTGTGATTAATATAGGATCTATTGTATCAAAGTTGCGACATTTATATTTGCCATTATATATATATATACAGATCACTCGTTGTGCCTCTCATTTAAAAACAAAGGTTGTTATCAAAAATCCTAAAAATTTGGATAAATAAATCGGGTATGCTCTATCGAATGGTGATATTTTCAACTTTCGGTTCCGAACGGAAATGAGTTATTCTGATCAAAAGTCGTTTTTTTTTTCGAAAGAGCGATTTGGATCGCATTCAGTGACTAGAAAACTATGGGAAACGATTACCTTCGTTCTCGTATTCGAAAAACATCTTTTTTTTTAAACAAATTAAATATATAAGCTCACTAGAATAAAATCAAACATATTAAAGTATGCGAGAAGCCGTATGCGAGCCAACACAGGATGATGGTGTGTAATAATTTCTTTACAATATCCAACCACACGCAAACTGCGCGCCGCGTACTTGTCGGTCTTGAAACACAGTTCATTACATGAGGCCGGAATAACTTATAACAAATTAAATCGCCGTAACGATTCAATCACTTACCTCAGTGGTCTAAAGGTAGGACCTTTTGCCCGTCCGGCAAACGGAGATCCAAGTTCGATTCCTGACTGTGTTTCAAGACCGACAAGTACGCGGCTCGCAGTTTACGTGTGGTTGGATATTGCAAAGAAATTATTACCCACCATTATCCTGTGTTGGTTCGCATATGGCTTCTACTTTAATATGTTTGATCTTTTTTTTTTATTGAACATTTATAATTAAATTATTTGAATAAAAGAAGTCATACATTTGCAATTGCAGTTGCAATTATATTTTCCTCTTAATGAGTTCGAATGTGTAGAGATTATCGGTCGGCCGGGTATAAAACATTTGTAATATGACATCACGAAGGGGTGCGACCGTAAGGAAAGTCTATCGATTACTCAATTACTTTTTGCCGTCCTCCTCCGAGAAAGACGAAATCGCCTATAATCTATAAATGCTTTTCCCGCTACTTCATCTAATAAGTGCGTCGATAGATTTAGCTCGGGTCTTGGACGCGGAACACGCACGTTCAACAATGACCTTCGACAAAGAGGTAAAATCGAAGAGGAGGAAGAGGCGTGGCAGGGATCGCCTCGACGAAATCTGTACGGAGGCTCGACATGACTCTGCATCGATTAAAATCGATCAAATCGAGCGAATAATTGTCAAAAGAGTTGTTCCGTGATCTGATATCTATTATCAAACAAATGTTTATCGCATCGATTAATTAACGTATGTATGTAGAAGATACGCGGTCTTAATATTCTACAGGGGTTGGACAAAATAATATGAACACCGTGCAATATAGTATTCAACTTTGGTTAACGGTAACTCCGCGAAAAATCATCGTAAAATGAGGAACTTTTTTTCAAATGAAAGCTTGAAATCTCTACTTTAAGATAAGAGACTGTGAGTCGATTTTTAATTTAATGCATCTCTGTTGCTGTAAACTCTTAAATCTGAGAGCATGTTTGCCACACTGAAAATTGCAAAGTTTGAACGAGTGCACGGACTTACTAAAATTTTTCCCGGGGATGCGGTTTCCAGAGATCGGAAGAGCACACGTCTGAA